ACCATCCAAAGGCACTACTTTAAAATTTGTATGCTTGTATTGATCTCATAATTAGAGAATACATCTATACTTAAGCGTTCCTAAAAACGTATATGTGCCACGTGACACTCTCGTCACGCCATCTTTCAATTGTGAGCATATTTTAATGAAAAATGTTAATCATGACATTTGAACTCACAACCACTAAAATATACATTAAAAGTCTTATCATCCCATCTATTGATTAATCATGCTTTTATATTTAACTCATAGATATATATGGATTGGAAATCTGAACATTTAATAATTGTAATTTAAAAAAAAAATCAATTCTATTATTTGCTAATAATACTCATCGAGGTTATGAATACAATTTTTTTTTTTTACTATAGTTATAAATTAACTGTAGTTGTCCACTTATTTTGATAATATAATTATGTCTTTGTTTTCATTATATTATAAATTTTATACGATGGACATGTTTGTATAATTAAAGAATAATTATTCCATAACTAATTTATTCACAGGTTTTATGAAAAACTATGATAAAAAAACATATAATAAATAAATAAATAAATAAATAAATAAAGAATGAATCTATCAATTTCATTACAAGTGTTCAAAGTAACAGCCCGAGGCATCACTTGGGCCACACACTAGTTGTTGCTTAAAAATAGTGTAGTTGAAAGTATTACTTTGACAAGTCAAACTATAAGTGATTCAGCCTAACCATAAGAAACACCGTAACGTGCCTAACTTGTTACGCAAATAAATTAACATGAATTTGGATTGTTCATGTTAATTTTTGCACAAAGTAGTATATTTCAATGGCGAAGCCAGAAATTAAATTTCGGGGAGACAAATTTTTGATATCTAATATTTCGACAAAATCACAAGAAAAAATATCATATAAATAGTTATGACAATTATTCTTATATGGTAAAAGAGGAGTAGTAAAAAGCTCCGTTGCATATTAAGAAACAACAAAGCACTAAATTGTTGTTTGTAACCCTTGATCTTAGGTTATGTAATCCACTAGCCGATACATACGAATTAATTTATTTATCATAAAGTCAAATAATTAGCCTTTAAATAAATTGATAGTAGATATGGAGGGGTTTAATTACATTTGCAAAAAAAAAAAAAAAAAAAAAAAAAAAAAGCCAACTTTTATGGACTAATCATATTATTACAATTTATTCAGTATAATAGAAATTTTTAATTGTAGTTACGAATAATCTAATATATATATATATAAAGTAGGCATTTTTGGAAAGCATTTGGAGTGCCACGTAAGAAATATACTTATTTCGACTAATAAGAAGAAAGATTTGTATTTTATTTTTGGATTAAAAAATTATGCCGCCACCTAGATAAAAGTAACGAATTAGATTTGATATATCTAAAATTTTAACACCACGTAGATTATAATCCACGAATTAAATTATTTTGATGAAAAAAAATAAAGTAAAAATATAGGAAAAGATAAATTTATTAATTCAATACTACGAGTATGAGAAATCCAAAAAAAATATACTAAACAATATTTAAATGATAAACGCTTATAATAAAGTTTGATACATATCATTATAAGATAAATTTTGATAGTATTTATGATAAGAAATACAAATTGTTCGTTAATTATAATTAAATTAAAATTTGTGATACCTACCATTATAAATTGACACATCATACGACACAAACAAAATTTCGTATCAATAAAAAACTCCATCAAGCGAATTTTGTGTTAGTAATTTTGTGTTAATTTTTGGTCATCAATGGCCAGGTAATTTTTAGCTTAATTTTTAAAATCCTATGCTTAAATTAGTATTTCTAATTATTACTTACATTGTATTAATTTGGGATACTCAACGATTATATGTTTATGTTTTATTTACTAAATGTTTTTTTACATGCAGATCTAACACATCATACGACACAAATAAAATGTCGTATCAATACAAAACCCCATCAAGCGAATTTTCTATTAGAAATTTTGTGTTTGTTTTAGGTCATTAATGTCCAGGTAATTTTTAAAATTTTATGTTTAAATTTATATTTGTATATATTAGTTACATTGTATTTATTTAGGATACTTAATGATTATTTGTTTATGTAATGGCATACGATTAGATGTTGTATACTTAATATATGGATGACTTTGGTTATTTTTGGAGATGATGAAAAAATTCCAATGTATAGATTTGGTTTTATATCGCAATAATTTTTCATTTATCGGTAAATATATTGATTTATTTTATATAAATGTAAAGATTTAATTTATATCAATTTCTGTTTGGCTAACATTCCACGGTTCAATTTATCCATTGATGTAGTAGGTTGGTTATGGACGAGGTTGGTGATTCTATCGAAATAAAAGATATGGTAAAACAATGAATAATGATTTAGGATTTAAATTATTAAAAATTTATCATTTCACATTAAAGATTTTATATAACTGAAAAAATATCATATTTACAATTTATTTATATTTGATAAATTCATTATTAATTATAGTAAAAAAAAATATTAAACTTTTGTAATTTTGTCTGAAATTATTAAATACAATAAATCAAATAATTAAAAATCTTAGACGAAAAACCATGCATCGCACGAGATTTCATCTAGTTTAATAAATATGAAGAGAAAAAAAAAAATTAGGCTCAAATAATTAAAGAGATAAAAAAAAATAAAGAGATATGTAATGTATTCATTAATAAATTATATGATATAGTATATTACTCGTATTGTAGTAATCAAAAAACGGGAGGAAGGAAAATAATAAAAAAAAATAAAAAAAAAATAAAATAAAAAAAAGCTATAAAATGTGTTTGTGAGGGTTTGAACTTAGGACCAAGTGAGCAAAATGACACTCCAAATCCCAAAACAAGCCCAACCACTAAGCCAAACTTATTTCAATATTAGAAATAAGATGTATAACGTATCTATACCTTTACTATTGCTTTTATTATTAAAAAAAAAAACTAATTTTTTTTTTTGGAATTGGGGGGACACTTTACGTAAGGAAGAGTTTGGTTTTTTGGGGGTGATAGTGGAAAAGTTGACAGATAAGTGACCCTTACTGCCACTCTACATAACCGTACATGAGATTTTCACCTTATACGGCTCCTCGTTCAATTCTTTCGAAGCTATTGGATCATTTCCATAATTCTTTAAGTTCTATAGGTTTGATCTTGTAGAATCTGACCCAGTTGTCCCCCATGTTCCTTAGTGGCTCTGCCGCCACTGGTATATTCTACTGTACTTAGCAACATATAGGAGGTCGGAGGAAAAGGAGACGAAGCTAAAGTTGCTTACATATGAAGAGAACATTGATGAATTATGGACCAGAGATTCAAACCTTGAACTATAAGATAGATAAAAAGAGGCAGCTTTTAGTTTTTGGTGGACTTCTAAGTTCTTAACGTGTGCAAGAGACAATATTACTTAATTTTCTCTTACTTTGAGCAAAGAATTTAATTATTTCGTGAAAGTTTTTATTCAAATTGGTTGGTTGATTGTTATCCATTAAAATTAATTGTATCATTTATAAGTCTATAATCAATCTCTTAATATATGCATGTAAAGCTTCGAAAGAACGAAATCCACCATGAGTAGTGGTTTGACTTTGACATGCACCTTTCAAAATCGGGGATTAAGCGGTTAGGCCTCATTAGGGTAGGTAGTAGTTTTAGGTACATATCTAAAATATTGCTTTGTTTTCAAACGTTGTGCTCTTTCTATTTACTTGTAATAGATATATAGAGTATTTGATTTTCATTATTAAAATACATTAGTTGTACAAGATTTGAACCGTAACTTTAAACTTAAAGACTAAAGTGTTTAAAACTAAAGTATGTGATAATCTTATACAAAAATGAATTATTAATGACATTGGTGCAACAATCCAAGACATTGTTTGTACCCAAAAACTCATTTGTGATCAATTGACAATGATTTTAAAAATATCATTTCATTCTAGATTTTCAATTCTTTTGTTTTAAAGTTGGATTGGTTTAGATTGGATTAATGTGGATTATTAATGCTATTTGACTTGGAGAAATAACTTTATTTTAGGATAATCTTTACACATTTTTATAATATTCGTTTCTAAATGTTCTTAATATTTATCATAAGTCAATTTCATAATATTTTTTATAAATTTACATCATTTCATTCTCGGAAAGAAACTTTTATCATTTAACACTCATTTGACCCATCACAACTTATCCACGTGTATGTAGGTTGTTAATCGGTCCAAGACCGAACCAACTTAGACCGAAAAATTGAATTCTAAGAACCGAAAACCGGACCGATCAAGTTAGGACCGAACTCGGATCGATCGAAATAATCGGTCCAAAACTCGGACCGGAGCTATTTGGACCGATTTTAGAATTTTTTATAAAAAAATTTTTTAAATTTTAAATAATTAATGGAAAACTTGAAAAAAAAATAAAGGACAAATATTTTAACGTCTATATTTATATGTTTAGTATAAAAAAGCTCATACGACTAAAGTTTTCCAAACTTGTTAAGAATAATCTTAATCATTATTAGAGGTTTTATGTATAATTTTAAGCAAAAACTGGTCCGGCCCAAGACCGGTCATTTAGGATTTTGGACCGGACTGGAAAAATAAATTTTATGACTCGGAGATCGGACCGATTAATTTGGTCCAATCCGGACTGATCCAGTCCATTTTTTTCAATTCAGACCAATTTTTGAACACCCGTACTTGTATGATTTGAATATAGGATTTGACTCCTTTCATTGTTGGACAATTAATACACTTTTATCCCCGATTATAGCATGTCCTACCATTACACGATTTTCTTTAATACGAAGTAATACCCTATCATCATTACAAATAGTAATTGTCAAAAATATTAAGAAACAGATGTAGTATGAATATAACGTGTCACTCCGTGATTGAATTATAAATTTATAACCCATATAATTTAATGAATTAAAAATCTCAAACCGATATTTATATACTAGGTTTGAATCGAATTATCGTATCGGGTCACATTTCAAGTTCTTGCAACAATAAAAATTAGTAAGACACGCGTCAAATGAGGGATCCACGCATGAATCCACCTGTTGCACACGTGCTAACAGTCTAACACCTCCATCAAATCTAACAATCTCACTTTCCTCTATTTTTTTTTTGGTGAAAGGATCTCACTTTCCTTATGAAAATACTAAAACACCCCTATTACCTTTACCTAAGGCGGAGTCCATTGTTCAAAACATAAAAGAAAAAATTAAAAATAATAATCCCACCTTTGGCACATCTGTTCAAAATAATCCCACCTTTACGTATTCTAGAAATAATTCCACTTTGTACCCCCATCTTCCCAAAATGATCCTTTTACCGGTTTATGAATTAGTAACCTGTTTTAAATAATTTTAAAAAAAATAAACAAAACAATTTTTTTTTAAAAATCTCCCAGCCCCAGCCTGTGTACGATCACCCCCTTCATCGCCGGACTGAAAGGGCCCGCCACCCCTTTATCACCACCATCACAACCCCCTGCCGTCGCCCCTTACCACCATCACAACAAAGTCTCACCTTCCTCCGCTGTTGCTGCCACCACAACTCACCGCCACCAAGCGAACCCACACACACCAAATCGCCACCACCGCACCAAATAGCACAACATCACGTGCGAAGCTCGTGATTCGGTTCGGATTATACCCAGGTTTGTGCACCCGATGCTGCTATTGTTGGCGGAAGTAGGTGGAGCAGGGGTTGTTCTTGGTGCCGTTGTGGGCTGTGATGCGGATTGTGGAGTGAAGATGCGGTTTGTGATCAACTGCTGTCGAATTTTGGTGAGGTGGAGTGCGGCGACCTGAGGAGTGAGCTGGGCTGCTCTGTTGGTGTCGCGGGACTGTCGGGATTGGTTGTTGCGAGGTGAGGGATGGTGGCTGCACGGTTGTGGGGTGCAGGGTAGGACTGCCGGGGTTGGTGCAGTGAAGAAGAAGCTAGAATGAAGATTGTTTGGGTGGAGGTCAGGTCTGTGGTGAAAGGGGGTGGGGATGGGAATAGGTTGGAATTAGGATTTTGGGAGGAGGTCATGTGGTGGTGTGATGGTGGTTATGGTGGTTGACATGGATGCAGCCATGGAGGGGGTGAGGTGAGAGAAGAGGGATTAGAAGAAAATAAAAAAAAAAAATTAAAAAAAAAAATCTAACCTGTTTTACAGGTTGGAGGTAAAAAGTCTCATTTTGAGAATATGCGGTACAAAGATGGAATTATTTCTAAATTACGCAAAGATAAGATTATTTTGAGAATATGTACTAAAGGTGGGATTATTCTTTAATAAAATCCAATTCAATAAATATTCATAGTACTCAGAAACTTTAAAAAATGAAATAATAAACTTTTTATATTTTAAAATTCATTTCTGTGGTCCCCAGATAAACCTTTTCTCAATACTACCGTCCTGTGTGACGGCCCAAAAATTAATTGGGCCCCTAGAAAGAAAAGGATACCCCACATTTTAAGGGCTACCGTTGTCTATTTCTCCTCCTTTACACCCCAATTTTTCCAGTACTCTTATTGATTTTACACACCAAAAAAAAAAAAAAAAAAAAAAAAAAAATCTCAAGACTTTTTTTTCTCTCCACATTTTTTGATGGGTTTTCCAGCAGAAACTTGGATGTCTCAGATTGAAGAAATTGGATTGAATTTCTACTATTTCATCAAATCAGGTTATTTGAGCTTTTTGTTTTTGCTTTTGTCTATAATTCATTGCTTCCCTGTCATTGATTATGATCTTGAATTGGTTTGGGATTAATTAATAGTCGCGTTGATAGTGTAATTTGTACTCGTAATAAGACGGACCGATATCGTAGCGATTTTGAAAGGGGAGGAGGGATATGAGAGAGCTGTGGATTTACTACTGCATTTTTAAGTACCCCCATTAAAACATACATATACTTTTGGGAGTTTTGGACATAGTTTTAAGTTTTTACTACTAATTGCCAATTTTCTTGGTTTTAAATTGATCCACTTGTTAGTGTCTGAATCACTAACTCTCAGTGTTGTGGTATTCTAAATTTGTTAAAAAAAATAAATAAATAGATAAAAAAAATTATTATTGTATGTAAGTGTTTTTATTGATAATCATAATCAATGAAAGTGACGAAGAAAGTAGATTATTCATCCATCTGATGAATTATATTTATTACATAAAGTTGGCACATTTCAATTTAACTGAAACTAATTTTTTTTTTTAACATAATGGGTACATTAATGGATTACCTACCATAAAAATATAAATGGCGTCATATAAGAAAACTGTTAAGTATCGAATAATTAGTTGATTATATTAAGTAATGACGTATTCTATCATAATACTGTTAATAGTCAATCTAGTCGTAACCTTAACAGTGAGGGAACATATGGGCACCATTTCCGAATTGGGAAGTATCCTTCTTTCCCTTTCATGACGCTATGTTGTTAGGCTTGTAGCACACCGCATAAGTATTTCATTTTTTTATACTTGTATAAAGAAGAAAAGATATGCTTTTAAGTCCACTAACTAAACAAATGCTAGTGGAAATATCTGATTATTTTATATATCTTTATTATTAATCTTTATGATTATTTATGTATATCTTCTAGGAGAACTATCCCGTCCTAACTCCCAAGTCCTTGAAGTTTGTGTTTATTAATTGGCAAAAATTGATTAAAATTTGTTCAGTGTTTCATTAAAAGAAAAAAAAAAGTTTTATTAAGAAAAATGCCTAAAAAGAGGTTGATCCTAGTCTTTGGGCTTACGCACTAATTATACCCGTTTTTGGTATCAGTGACGTTAGGTGGTCCAATTATAATTCCTAAAAGTTTTTTTTTTTTTTTTTTTTTTTTTTTTTCTCTTGTGAACGGCTGTAGAAGATATTTATTTTCTAACATGGCAAGGAGACCAATTTTTGGATCGAAACCACACATGAGTCAACAAGATCCTATAAATACTTTGATTAAACACGCTTGATTATTTAGAACTTTAAATGTCAATTAATTTATCTACAAAAAATAATAATAATACAGAGTAGTAATTTTTAAAAAATTTACATCAAGATGAAATTAACTTTTTTCAAACTAATACTTCGTATTTGTTTTCAAATTTAGCCAAAAAATTATGGTCAATATAAGGACCTTGAATAGTCAAAAGTAAAATTTTGTCAAGTAAATAGGGATAGAGGAAGGACTAAGCTAAATGGGGGTGAAGGAACGGAAGGGGAGGGAAGAGATTTCTACCTTTTAAAAGTGTATATTTTTAAATTGTGGTCCAGTTTTATACTCTGTCTCTTTTCAAAAGAACGATTTAAAACATAATAAAGTTCTACATCTCAATCATGACATGAAGTAATTGATCTAAGAATACTTAATTAATGTTTTTATTAAGAGCAATATGAAAATATCAATAATTTAACATACTAAATTTAGAAAATGACATATATATCAACTCTACCTCGTGTGGGTAAGATGTGAGATTTACATTTTTACCAACCCATTCCCACTTAATTCTCAAGTTTGAATTTTGGTGGCCACATCATACCACTACTTTGAGGAAGATTGAATCGGTGTAGCCTTGTAAGAGCATCTTTAATGGTTTATAAAATGGATCTGCTTGCAAATTAAATTAAATTGTAAGGATGTAGCTTACCATTAAAGTGACAATATTGATGTAGTTATATCAAGCAATGTAGCTTGTTATTTGAGCAACGTTGCTCGATTTTTCAAAGAACACTTCATCCACTTATATTATGACATGTGTATAATTAAAACTATTTAATTAATTAATTTATTTTTTCAAGCTACAACATTCTATTTCTCACCATTGGAGCACCTTATAGCTTAATAATATACTAGCTCAAAATTTTGATGTATCAAGGTAAGCAATAAGCCCTTATAGCTTACCATTGGAGATGGTCTTGCATGAAGGGGTTACGCTTATGTATTCATGTGCCACTCAAAATAGATCTCAATTAATGATGTGCATATAATTAGATCTTTTATAAATTTTAAAACCCCTTTAATAAAAATAAAAATAATAAGAATTAGAATAAGTCTCTTGCTTCATCTATCTAAAACTTTGGACCTACTAATCTATGCTATTTTCTTTATTTGAAGCTTTTAAAATCCTCTTAAATCCAACATAAATTTAATTTATACTAATAAGTACATTATTGTGATTTTATTTTATACATATATCAATTCTTAGTGTTGTATATAAGGGCTAAAAGTGAAAAAAATTAAGCTAACTTAAACAATAAGTACATCAATCACCACATAATTTTGTCATGTATTTTAAACTACTACGTAATATCGATTCGGAAAATTTATCAAATACTTGTATGCCGCTCTTTCCCTACATGTTACGTGTGTATAAGCATCTTATAATTCAAAGCTAGTAAGTCTTCAATTTCTTTGTTGCTATCAAATTGTTTTTCAAACATGTAACCATCACAAAATTTAGAAGGCAGATTTGATGAAAAGTGCGTAGTACTTGTTTAGCTTTGATTTTTTTTCCTAAATAAATCTAGATTGATTAAACGACGTACCAACATATTTTGTGTATGACAAACTTTGTTCAATACTTCCAAGATGTGAAGCGAAATGACGAAGTAACTGACAGAATTAAAAAAAATGAACGTAATGAACAGTTGATAAGATAAGAAAGGGGGAGTAAAGGAATCAAGAATCGTAGTACAAGCTGTACAACAAAGAAAGTTGTCTTTTACCAACAGAAACAGCATCTTGCCTTTGCTTTCATTGGCTTTGTTGAGAGGTTGCCTAAAACTCAAAAGGGCTTATCGCCATTTCGCTTTCTTCGCTTCTCTTTTTTACTAGCTGTTTAGGACTCTAGGAGCATGCGAATGGTATTCCTATAATCCTTGGCTCCTCGCTATTCCTATGCCTTTTGAGAGGGCACTACCTCCCCCGATTCAACCCTTCTCGAGTGCAAATGATTGAGCCTAAGATCCGTGTCTCATGAGTTTTGAAATTAAACTATACAGTCGTTTTTCTTCAACAATTAGTAGTTCTTGGTATATTTTTCTCAATTTGTATCTATGAACATTTTATCTTGAATTGTACTCTAGGAATAATAAGTGAGCTGATATTCACTCATTCTTATTTGTTAGTTGTTACTACTGTTTGTTGTAAGGCGTATTAAAAAAGAATGGGATTGAATCATACTCCCTTTGTTACATAGGTTTTCTTATTTTGTTAATTGTTGCCAAGATAATCAATATGAATTGGTTTCAGTGGAGAATTATACCAAAAATGTGAGAGAAATTTTTTGACAGTTCATTTTACCTATAGAGGACAATTCAAAATCGACCATAGGAATAACTCTGATAATGTTATCTTGAGTAGAGGTTAAAAAATCAATTTACGAATTATTATATTAAATAGTCAATTTGCAATTATTAACAGAAAATAGGTAATACTTGGTACTCCTTATTATTCCTGTTAATTATTCCTTAATACAAAGTACGGAGTATAAAACTTGAGTGTATTGGCCCATTTCAATATGCAAAACTATGACTGAAAATGAGGTTCTACCTTTTGTGAGTTAGGAAGCTTGGAAAACTTTAATTAAGAAAAGAAAAGGGAAAAATTCAAAGTAAAAAATGACTAAAATATCAAACAGTTTTTGTACTTTTGTTCTTTTTTTCTTCTTTTTTATTTGGAATTTAGGGTGTGGACAAAAAAGGGAAGAATTTATTTCTTGGTGTGTCTTTTATTTCTTCCACTTTCTTTATCTATGATCTACCTCTAGTGTGACGGTTATGCTTACACTACTCTGCTTTGCTCTACTGCAGCTTCATAGTCCAGAAAACTGCTTCCTACAACAGATTTAAATCGAAGAGTTCAACCGGAGCTCTGAAAGGTTATCTATATTCGGTGGAACTAATAACTGTGGCGGTGAATTTACAAATGGTAGCGGCTGAATTGGAAATAATGGCACAAGCAGAGGTTAATTCACCAGCAATGACAGCAACCATAGATCCTCATCACAACCCCAAAAACAATCACACAGACCATAATCATAACCATGGCAACGGCGGGACCAACAATAATAACAACAACAACTACGCGTTCCCAGCCTTGGGGCGCCAGTCTTCAATTTACTCTCTTACCTTGGATGAGTTTCAGCATACTCTTAGTGAGAACGGCAAGAATTTTGGGTCGATGAATATGGACGAGTTCCTAAACAGTATTTGGACTGCTGAGGAGAACCAATCTCATCATGGCCACCATCATGAACATCCTAATAATGTTCAGCTGCCTTCTGTTAGTGTTGCAGCTTCTTCGAGTAGTAAGGGGGCTATAGCTAAGCAGGCGAGTTTGCCGAGGCAAGGCTCCCTCACCCTCCCAGCACCACTGTGCAGGAAGACAGTTGATGAAGTTTGGACTGAGATTCAGAGGATCCAACAGCCTGAGGATGATGAACAGCAGCAAAATAATCAGCAGCAACAACAGGTGGTAAATTCCAATGATCCTCAGCGCCAAGCGACGTTTGGAGAGATGACTCTAGAGGACTTCCTGATTAAAGCAGGTGTTGTTCGCGAACAATGTGGGCCCACGGCGCCAACACCATTGGCAGTAGCACCCGCTCCACCTCCAGCTCAGCACCCGCCTCACCACCAATTTGGCTTTAGTGCTCCCCAGATGGGTCCTACCTTCGTCACAAGGCCCATGATGGGCATGGCCCCAGGAGGGGCCTACCAGCCTATGCCACCAAGTGCAGGAGAGAGTTCCGGATACACAGGGAATGGAAAGAGGAGTAATGGGTATCCAGCTCCAGTGGTAGGGCCCTCAGTGGCCTGTTATGGAGGTCGTATGAATAATGGAGGTGGCCCTGGTGGAGCTTTCACACCTGGTGCACCAGTTAGCCCGGTTTCTCCAGAGGGTATGTGCGGGCCAGGTCAGGTAGACAATCCTGGTGGCCAGTATGGGATGGACATGGCTGCGTTACGAGGGAGGAAGAGGATTATTGACGGCCCAGTGGAGAAAGTGGTGGAGAGGAGGCAGAGGAGGATGATCAAGAATAGAGAGTCTGCTGCCAGGTCTAGAGCCAGGAAACAGGTATCTTTTTTTTTTTTTTTTTTTTTTTGAGTAAATAACTTTGTCCATATAGTTATGCTAGAAAATAGTATAAAACTCTTAATAATAACAGTGAGTAAAATATGATGTAAAGCAATTTTAGAATGCAGAGACTTATTTTCAATCAATCGGTTTTGTCTTGTACTAGTTCCTACAACTATATGGCTTACTGAATTGCATTTTCTGCAGGCGTATACCGTAGAGCTGGAAGCAGAATTAAATCAGTTAAGGGAGGAGAATGCACAATTAAAGCAGGCCCTGGTAATAATACTAGTGTTTCCTGTTGAATTCAATGTGTTTTTCTCTTCAAGTGCACATTATTACAAACAAAAAATTCCCAACTATAATTTGTCTTACAATTGTTGCTTATCATTATAGGATGATATAGAGAGAAAGGAAACAGCAGGTAATCCTTTTCGCTTTGCCTTTAAGAAAAGTTTTTGACGGCCTCATGAGTTATGATTGTTAAAACTGGAATGCTCACAGAAAGTAATGATTTTTTAAATGAGAATCAACTTTAGTAAGCCATAGATAGAGCCATAGAGGTGGCAAGCATGTCTGTTCCAGTGTAGGCACTTGTGTTTTGGGGCATCTTTTGGTGATCTACTCGCCTGGTTTAATTTTGGCCCAGGTCATATTCGGTTTTCATTAAGTAGCTTATTATGATTGGTCATCAATGATAGACCTACTAATTTTCAGCTCGGGTTGGGTCAATTTTTGTTCGAGCCATGACTTTTGCATATTGTTTGAGATTGGGTCAAATATTCGGCAGGGGTCATTGTTTAGAGCTATCAAAAATTGATATTTTGACAACAATTTAATCGTGTTTTATTTGCTTGTGGTTTGCAGTATCATGAGGAGCAGAATTTACAGGCAGTACTGAGCAGGGCACAGAGAACTCAAGATAAGCTGAGAACAATGAGGAGTCGGAGCTGCACCCTTTAGATTAGATTCAAAGAGGAAACTGAGTCCGGATATAGTATTTAGTAGTAATTATGTAATCTGATCTTCAGAGATCAATAATGTAGTGTTAGTTGTTCTTTTAGGTTATATTATACACAAAGCAAAACAGCCTACCTTTCTCTTCTGTTGTCATCTTTAAAATGCTGTAAATATTTTCTGCTTTTTAGCAATCAGTTGCAGAATTTGTATATGGATTTCATCCTCTCCTTAATGTATCGCAAACTTAACAGGAGAATCTGTCAGATAGAAATTCAAGTCAAATTTTGAAACAAGTTGCTAATTCTCATTATGCGTTCTGAATATAGGTTTATATTGATCAGTCTAGTTCAATCTTGGTTGACACCAATGCAAGTTGAATAACTTGGAAACACAACCAGTGTATGTTTTGCTAGCATTCACCAGGACCATTCTAGCTAATGTTAGCTCTGTTAGCAATTGGCGAATTGAATTGATTTAAACAAGCTTAGGAAACCGAGATGCAACCGCAAATGTTGCCTCAATTTCTCCTAACCAAGAGCATTGCCTTCCACTAAAAAAGTGTAAACTTAAAGTATCAATACACATGCTTGATAAGTTAAGGATATATGCATGTACTTGTTTCGATTCTTTGTGAGCATAGTTAGAGGATCTGGTTAAGAAGTATATAAAATGTTCTAATTATGGTAAAAAAACACATCTGGTCCCTGTCTTTGCATCACTAATCATAAACCATGATTGTTATCTAGGACTGCTAATAATTTTATCAGAACAAACCCTTGCAGCTACTTTTTCTCATGAACAACAATATTAAAGGTAGCTTGTACATTGTACTCTTGTACATTGGTCCATATTTGCATGACTTCATACCCAACCACAAACAATGATCAACATTCAACAGTGTATGGGAAAATGTGTAATCTTTTCATAAAAACATAATTTTGTTTATACCATTTGGGTTCCTAATGTTGCTTATGAACATGTAAGGTTACAGCAATTTCTATCTCTAGGAAGCCTTAATCCTGAGAGGATTGGCGGAAAGAGAGTGGCATATGTCCCTGACCAAGCCACACTTCTCAAAAACTTGACCCAAAATTACAAAGGGATAATTGTCATTCAAATTCAAATAATACCTCTACTTGTGAATGAATCCTCATAAGCTGAACAATGGATGAGGTGAAGCGAGCAAGAGCATTGCACTCGTCATGTGTTTTGGCCCCTGACACAGCCCCATAGATAATCAACTTCTTGAGATTAGGGCATCTTTCTAGAAGTCCAGACAACCACTCAATGAAGAGATCATTGATTACCGTCCACCCCAATTCCAAAACAGCTACATTCTCCAAACAAGATGATCCTGGCAAACCATAGTGAAGCACGGAGTCTCTTTCATAGCTTAGGGAGAGATGTTTCAGTCGAGGAAAGCAAACAGAAACAGCCTCCAAATCCACAACTTCATCTTCATCATCAAATACTCAACCCCAGAGTCTAAGATATCTCAATCTCGGTGACTTTGAGATTATATGATAAAACTTTGGCCACATAATTGTGAAGTTGCTTGCATCAACAACTTCGAGATTTTCAATATTCTCACCAATATCAAAATGCAAAACACTAACATCGTCAATCCTAAAAATCCTCAACCCACCTTTTCCAACAAGCAAAAACATTTCAAGGGTACAATCCTTCAAATGCAGTTTCTCAATATGATCACCCTCTAATATAACCTTGTCCATACTAATAGCATCCATATAGACATCTTTCAACGAAGTACTATAGAGCTCTAGCGTTGTATGATTATCAGATATGACAATATCAGGATTAATAAGCTTTAACACCTCAAGCTTAGGACAAATATTGAGGAGCAAACTCAAGTCCAGCGCTGAGATGCTAACACTAGTCAATAACAATGACCTCAATTGAGGAAACCTCTGATAACTAGGCTCTACACCAATGATAGAGTTATGAGCTAATGCCAAAACCTCTAGCTTATGCCGTCCACATTTTTCTAAAATGTTCACACTTGGAATTGTCCTCGCATTATAGTATAGCTCGCGCAAAGAGTCTCGGGTATACAACAGCCAAGCAACCACAGGCGCAGCTGAGAACTCGTCGACATCGTTCATAAGGATCGAGAGGCGTTGAAGTCCTCTTGTTTGGAATATAGTTTGAGTGATCAAAATTTCCAATCTATATAGTGGGAAATCATGGTACAAAGGCCAATCACTCGAGTCGAACAAGAGAGAATGAAGGTGATTCCTCCAAGCCTCACGCCATTTTTGGCATGAAGTAGATGCAATCACCACATCTCTGGCAGCCCCAAGTTGGGACAATATGTTACCAATAACTTCAACTGGGAGATTATCCATACATCCACACAAACAACCCAAAAGTCCCACCTCAATACAATCTGTCTCCGTGCAACCTAGATTAAAACCCAACAACTTTAAAATCTAGTGTAGGATTTGTGAGAATCAGGGTTTCAAATTTGCCCCATCAAAAAGCAAAAAAATTGAAAATTTAAGATACCCAGAAACAAAATTTGATAAAATCACTTAAAGAGTGTAACTAAAAGACGAAATTACTGCGAATTATGGTACAATTTAGCAATTTTAGAAGCAATTGAATCAAGTTGTTCCCCAACTGAAGCATAAATTATAAAAAAAAAAAAAATTAAAATTACGTAGTATAAAAGGAAACTTTTGAGATGATATTTGAAAGAGAACTTACCGTTAGATGTAGATGTCAACCCAGTGGAGTATAGTGTATATCAATTCAACTATTCAGTAGTCTGCGCTGCGGCTGCAATATGGGGCGTTGGCGTGCTCTTCCCATTTTTCAACCTTTTGGGTAAGAATAGCAAGATTAGCGTTTGACGGTGGTCGCCAAAAGTGAAATACTTACCCGGGAAAACAAGTTTATTTCCTAGGGAAATTTTATCAATTACAACCCGTAAAAGTACTCATTTTTACGGGTTACAAGTCACCAAATATTTTAAACTACAATCAATATCCGATTTTCGGCTACTTTTACCATAATTTAACATCATTAATCATTTATTGATATAAAAAATAACCCCAACCACTATACTAGTTTGGAATCATTTATTGATATTGTGAAACTCTTGCAAAAATAAACACAAAAGACAAAGCTACTGGAGATGCAAGTGAGTCGTTCATTGATGCTATAGAAGATATGGATTAAGAGATTGATAAGCAACCATTGAATTTCGAGAGTGATGAAGAAGATGATGTGAATTCTACTCATTCAGACACTTCTTTTTCTACAAGTCATTCCGGAAAACGCCCCATGAAAATAGAGGATAATCATTCAAATCCTTCAAAAATGGAAAAAGTGAAGACTTCAACGACTCATTCTTCTGCAAGTGATTCTACTACTCAATCCGAAAAACGTTGTATATAGGCGAAAGAGGCTAAGGTAAAAGGAAAGAACAAGGTAGATTTGAAGAGCTTGTGTATGAATGGTGATGATGATTTGGTGGACTCCCTTCATGATGTTTCCAGCAAACTTGGGAAGATATTTGAAGATATCAATGTTAATCTCGGGACTATAGCTAGTGCATGGTCTATAGCGGAAGAAAGGGAGCAAAAGATGGATGAAAAAGTGAACAAGGTTTTGGACAAGGTGATGAAGTTAGGTGGCATTTCTCCATCAGAATCTTTAGAGGTTGCTACAATTCTCATGGCCGAAAAACATAAACTCCGCATCTTCTATCAAGCGCCAACTAATATGAACAAAAAATATGCAATAGATTTTGATTTTTTTTTTTGTTTTTTTATTTTTTATGGAATGCAAGAATTTCAATGCTTTTGTAATCAATAATTTAAGTTACTTTGCCTATATTTAGCATATGACATTGTATTGTAATAAGTGTTGCTCTACATTGCATAAATTGTAGCAAAAAATAGCAAAGACAACAAAAAATAAAAGGAAAACTATTTGTTTCCAAGTTATCTATGCCAAACAAGAGGAAACAAATTGCTTGTAATCATTTACGCTTCTGATACCAAATAACTAATAAAGGTAACACTATTGGTCGTTTGGTATAAATATTGGAAATGAAGTTGAAAAAAAAAAACAAATAAGTAGAAGGAAATGAATCATTTAATCGTTTTCTTTTCATTTGTTTGGTTTAAACATAGAATTAAATCACTTAAACCTAACTCTCTTTATTTTTGTTTGAGGAGACTTTACTGCACCCTCTCTCTTTCTCCTCCATTGAAGCACATACTCTTCTCCATTGAAGTCTCTTCTGAACTTTCCCCACTCCTTTGAAGCAACTTCTGAGGTAAAATTAATAATTTCTTTTTTATATAATCGAATATCAATTTCACAATCTAGGGTTTATTGTTAAATCTAATTTTCAGTATAGTCAATTTAGGGTTCTTCTAAGGTAGATTATTGAACATTTGGTTATAATTACTAAACTTATGAATGACTATAACGATCGATTTTGTTGCTGGAATCTTGCTATGTGCAATGTACGCTGATATATTCTTAAGCGTGAAGAATTTAATGTGATTTTTGAAGCTTAATTTGTTAATTAAGTCAAATTAAGTTGTTAATGTGTTGCAAGTTGTTGTTAATAATCTGTATTGTAGGTCAAAACTATGAAAATGGACCTCTTCTCCCTGAGCCGGGGTAGGGACGGGCTTGCGCAAATGTCATTGTTAATTGTGATGCATTTCTTAGCAATAATTTGGATATTTGATGGATTTTTTATGAATAGATACTAGTTTTATAATATCATTCTTTGAATTATATTACTTGTTCGTCTGAAATTGATAGTCACATTGTCCCAATAGCTCCTCATCCACTCATCCTCTCTTCACTACTCCAATCAGTGGCTGATCCAATGTGGGTTCATTGAACCCACTGATTTTTTGAAAAAATTGAAAAGTTTTTTTTTCAAAAAGCGGAAAAGGGTTAAATAGAATATTTGTGTGATATATGTTAAGAAGTAAAGCTGCAGCCCAGCGGTTTTTTTTACCTCACATGCCCTCCACCGTGAGCTGTTGCAGACTTGCGGCCTTGCCCCCTTCCCTGGTTTCCTTTAATTGTATGTCGTCTTCTAGCTTTCTGGGTTAATATAAAGTTTTTGGTTTCATGATCTTTTTAATTAATTACGTGGTGTTTGAATGTGTGATGAACTTTAGCTATCAATTTTGGGTTTTGGGGTGACTATTGAAAAAATGGTTGAAATTGGGGAAGTATCTGATTTACTGATTTAGGGTTTGTAGAAGTATTTCATTTGTTGAGGACTTGGGGTAGATGATAGTCTGATTGATTGATTGTCGAATTGTCATTTACTCATTTGTCTGTTGAAT